TTCATCGTCTGTGAATATGCCCCTGAGAACTGGTACGTTTTGGTTGTTTTTATTGCACATAGTTTTAAAGTGTTACTCCTGTCTTCTTAACTGTCTATAATTAATTATTTGGTGAATAGGAAGAAACGATGTTGATCAGTTTCCGTACAAGGAAAGGATACCTGCGATCATCATGTCGTACGTGGAAGGGTGGAATGATGTAATCGGAGATGGTAACTGCGGATTCCGGGTCGTGGCTGATGTTTTTCAAATGGGCGAAGACAACTACGGTTTGGTGCGTGAGTTGATGTACAACGAAATTGCCTCTAACCGAAATGTTTATCGTCATGTGTACCAAGATGACTTGGATGGCGCTCTCCGGCGTATCCGGTGGGGAGGTGGACCTTGCGGCGAAAATCATTATTTTGACGCGCCCCTAGATCTGTTTGCCGTTGCAAACATTTACAAATGCGCAGTCATGCATTTCGGCCTGGGAGTGCATAGTCAAGCTTATTATCCTTGTACCACGGTTCTCCCTTGGCGGTCGCGTGAGACTGTCACCACACCGGTCAGAGAGCTAGCTATTGCGTTTCTTGGGTCGTCATACAGACATTTCATCCGACTAGACATGTCAACCGATTTTCCGGTGCCACCGATTATACCTCGGTGGTACAACATTCGCACAGCGAGCGTAGAGGGTTGGGATGCGCTATATAATGACCGGATCCACGAATGGAACACCCTAGCTGCATTTTAGTTTTTCTTGTTTACATTCTTTATTTGTAATCTTATTTGTACGTTGCTCTTTTAATGAGAACATTAATATTTTATATTGTATTGCTTACTGCATTCTATATGTTGCATGGGTAAGTTGCGCGGATCCACGAACGGTTATATCAAAATTTAAAAACAGCACTGATAATATGTTTAAGTTGGAAGCTAAAAGAACAATCTAAAATGTTACAATTTTACAACATAATGTCCAACATAATGCTCTATAAATAAAATACAATAACCATCAGTAATCCCTCCTCGACGACGACTCCCACTGCGCAAGGGTCTGTTCCAGACTATCAACAACAGCTCTCCCTGTTGCACTCATGCTGTCCTTCTCAAGAGAGAGTTTCTGAACGTCTTGCATTATCTTTCCCATCCACTGCATACAACAAAAAACAGAAGATGAAATACAATAACAACAAATAAAACTTAATTAAAAGAATAAATATAATAAAAGACATACCGCTTCCGTGGCAGTAGGCGGTGGCACATAATCATCATCGCTGTGGTCGAGATCAGCGATCAACCTCGGGTGCGAATACCGGTTGAACCATTCCATGTAGTAATGGTCACACATGGGAGTAACCCCAGAGGGTGGCCGCTGCAACTCCGCTGTCCATAATCGAGCCACCATCGGAAACTGGTCCCACGTCCCGGTCATGATATCCGGCCATTCCACGACGTACTCCCTCGACGATGCAGGTCGGACCGCCTTCATCGGGCACGCCGGGGGAGGAGGGACAACTTGGACAAATCCAAGCTGGCGAAGACAACGCTGGGGCATGTACGCTTCGACGATGTCACGATACTGAATGAGTCCCGTGTACAGGGTCCTGGGTACCCTAACACTAGGGTTCGGGCCGAAAGACATCCAGTTCACCTGTACAATTACAACATATAAAATATAATAACATGAATATAATTTGTGCAAATAATAAAATGTAGACTCTATAAATAAACGTTACCTCTAAGGGGGACAGCCTGTCCAGCAATAACCGTATCGATCGGAGGCGGTCAACGGACTTCTTCTCCGAGCGCGGACTCCACGCACAAGCACGCGGCATCCCCTCATCAATAGGAACTGGGTCACGATGTGGTCGCAATGCAGGAAAGTACTCGTATATCCAAGTCTGCAATAGAGTCAGACACCCAGTGATACCTGCCGCGTCAGCCCGACTCGCAAATCCTAGTTGGCGATACAAATACGCCAACGTAGCCGATCCCCAGGAAAACTGGCCTACACTGTCGGGGTCACACGCCTCTACGATGTCGCGTGGCCTGAGCTTGTTTCCGCCGCTCTTATCCGGAAACAAGGTACATCCGAGGAGTAGAAAAACATAAGCACTCAGTTGTGCGTCGGGCGTCCTACGTGCACTCGGGTACAAACACCGCTGCAACACGGATGCGATCTTCACACCTCCGTGTTCCCAAACACCTAGCGCCTCGGTGTACAGTGCAGCCCTGTCCACCGCCAACAACTCCGCCAGCGAATCTGCCTGATCCGCATCAGCCACAGCACAAAGTCGTTTACCCTCAACACGAATCCCCAGAATGGCCTCGACGTCATGTAACATGATCGTCATCTCACCGAACGGAAGGTGAAAAGAGTTTGTATCCGGCTGCCATCGCTCAATGAAAGCCGTGATCAGCGTACTGTCAATCTTATCGTGCATGGTGGCAGGAACGTGCTTCACCCCAGTGCCCTCCAGTCGCTCGAACATCTCGCTCTCAGCCGGCCAGGCCTCAGCCCATGTACGCAAAAAACTACAAGTCTTTTCCCGGGTATGACATTTCAACAACCCCGTAACTGAAGGCCTCTCCTGGTCCTCCCAAATACGGGAAGCTATGTGTCCTAGAAAGCTAGGAATCACACTCCCGTCAACAGGCCCACCGGGCACCTCACTCCTAACAACCCAAGAATCATTACCCGCCCTCGACCGTTTCCTGCTTGCCCCAGAGACAGTGGACGCAGATGATGTGCCAGATCTACTAACAAACCTACCACTCCTACCCTTACGCACCTCCACCATATGCGTCTCGTACATGTCATCAACCCTCTGACTGAATGGACCGTAATCATCATACGGTCCACTGCCATCGTCCACATCCTCATCCTCATCTGCGCCCTCCTCCTGCTCCTCCTCCTGGTCACCCTCCTCAGCATCATCATCGTCATCGTCATCCTCATCCCGACGGTGGATCCGTTCTCTACGAACTGAGGCCGAAATACCACGGGATCTGACATGTCTATGCCCCGACCTCTCCACTGAATAACTTCTACTAAGAAGCTCTATATTCTTCCCCCCACCATGACGACCCTACACAAAATTTTAAAATATATAAACATACAAAAATTTATACGATAAATAATCATCATCGCAAATCAAATACACTAAAAACATACAAATAATAGTAAACAAAATATAAACGTAGAAAAAATACAACGAAATTGAAAAAATTTATAAAAATAAACAACAAAATATAAAAACAATTCAAAATTATATTACAAAAAAAAAAAAAAAAAAAAAAAAAAAATTAAAAACAATTTTTTAAAAAAATTAAAAAAAAAATAAAAAAAAAAATGGGGGGGGGGCGCCCTGGCTGGACGCCCAGCCGGCGGTGGTGGCGCCAGATGCAGACGCCGCCACCAGTTGGCTGGCGCCTGGGCTGGACGCCACAGCCACGGCTGCGGCGCTTAGACTAAACGCCACAACCGTGGCGGTGGCGTCCAGCCCAGGCGCCAGCCAACTGGTGGCGGCGTCTGCATCTGGCGCCACCACCGCCGGCTGGGCGTCCAGCCAGGGCGCCCCACCGCGTTCACGGCGGTTTTCCCCTTTTTTTTTTTTTTTTAAAACAAAATATACCTTTCCTCCTTGGGACATCCTTCCCTCCGCCGCCGCCGCCATTTCCTTGCCTTGCCGCCTCGACATCGCCGTTATTTTGAATATTTTTTTTTAGAGAGGTTGAAAGAAGATGAGCAATGAGAGTGTGAGTGATGAGAGTGTGAGTGTTTTTTTTTTTAAGGTCAAGGGCAATTTTGGGAAACCAAGTGAATTTTGTGGGCTTTATGTAGTAATTTGTGGGCGATGTTTAACAAATCCCAAAACTTAGTGTGGTAAATAGTTTTGTCACACAACCTCTTTGCAAATTATTTTGCCAAATAAGCTTAGTTTGAAGAAAAGTCCCATGCACGATGCACCCAATAGTCTACTGAAAGCAACCCTGTTTTAGGATCAGGATTACATTGAATAGGTAAGAACTGAAAAAGGGTATCTCAAATTGAGTGGGAATGCTTAATTAACTATAATAATCAATCAAATATTAGTAATAAGAACGATCTAGCATCAAGGTAGACCCTTGTGAATCAAATTCTCTCTTGATAGAGGTCAGGCTTGTCTCGTGCGTATTAGATATGCAATTGCAAATTTAGTTGTTTTGCACGAGGTAATGGTCATTGAAGATAAATTTTAGGATTGAATTGTAATTGGTGTACTATTATGAAGGTAGATGAGTAAATGATTAGATCTCACAATATATGATACAAGTACATGCAAACCACCACCTCCACTGTCCATACCATCGAGAACCACCAGCAAATGCCGTGCCAAAGCTGCATAAATTTCCTCCACTTTCTCTCAAATTCCTCTTCCCTTCTTCGCTCCTCTTGATGCCATCACTGAGGCCTTTAGCCATTGCAAATTTGCTAATGACTCAGACTCACCACCACCACTGTAGTAGTGTTGTTGTTGCTCTTTTTGTCACCAAGATAGCTCATCCTTGTTCTTCCCCCTCCTTTACCATGGTTGCCAATCTACTATAGCTATTATTAAGATAATACTTGTTTGATTCATCTGAGTATAACAGAAAAACTAACTTCTTTTTCGATCCTGAACAAATCTTTTACTTATGAAACAACTTGCCCTATACTAGTTTCAAATTATTGAACTTGAATATATCATAGCATAAGGGAACTTAATACACTCAAACAACATAGTTTTACCAAAGCTAATAACAAACACGGACAAAATAAAGAAGGGGTCAAAAAGAGAAGAGGAGGGGGGGGGGGGGGAAGAAGGGGAAACTATCTATAGTAAATAATACTACGTATAATTATATGAAATCTTATTAGTTTTGTTTAAGCCAACTTTTATTAAATTTTGCGTGCTAAATTGGAGATATCCACAAATAACACGTACAATTGAGATCATAAAAAGTCAAATAAGACAATATTCAAGTGACGAGGATGACAAAACAATTTGAGATCATGAAAAGTCAAATGGATCAATGTTTAAGTGACAAGGGAGTACAAAGCAGAGTAGTAATAATTTTTAGCTAGATTGCCATTTGCCATGCAGTTGATCGAATTATGCTAGAGCCAACATAATCAGTCATCAAACTCTCCAGCCACTGCAAAACTAAATCATACTTTGACAGGGATATCCTAGCTGCTAGCCAAAAGTAGTGAACAAGAAAACATCAATCTATTACTACCGTGAGTTAAGTAGACATTTTCCAATTCACTACCCTGTTTGAGAGTAACGAACGCATATGGCAATGAGCTCCATTTCTAGAAATAGGATTCTCGGAGACAATTACAGAAAATTGCTGTTTGTCGCACAAAAAGGAAAAAAAAAAGGTAAGCATGATGCTACCAAGAATAAATCACAATTCAAGATTCCATGTACTCTCTGCCATCAACTTAGGCATTTTAGATTCCTCAGCCAATTTGAAGATTGCTGAAATCTGGAAGAGAAAAAAAGAACATGAGTGATGAGCAGCATATAACTACCGTATATAAGATCCATATCAGAACTGTAAATTATGAAATAGTAGTGACGAATACAGACACAGCAGTACAGCACCAACTCATGGTCATTAAATCTTCACTAAAAGGCAGGCAAAAAGATACACTGGACACGAGTCATCAGAGGTCAAGTCCCACATCATAGACCTCAACATATCACCAACACTTTACAGTCCACAATGTTAAGAAGCCAATTTGAGTCATAGTTATTGTTCAGTGCTTCTACCTTGAAGGCCTACAAAGTAGCATTTCCTACTATTAATGATAGGCTTGTTTCTTTAGTTAGTAGTCTGTATAGAATAGTTTTCTTATTCATCCAAAGAAAATGCAATTTGCAAAAGTTCCTAATGCATCCTTATTTATATCTGTTTGCAGTGTGCATTAGTGCATATACTGGCAGAATGAAGTATAGGTTTATTGGCCATTTAGCGATTTGATAAGCCATGCTCTAAACCACATTTTTATAGTTGTTACCAAGCATGAATTATTATTCCTTGGTTGTTACACTGACTTGCACATTTGCCACACAAATCTTTGACCAGCTAACAAAAAAATGGAGGAAAGTTTACAACGAACAGTTGTATATATTTTTTCAGACCAATATAATAAATTTAATTGCAAATTGAGACCAAAAACAATTAATTTTTAGTTTACAAAAAACATATACATTGAGAGTATATTCTCAGTGAGTCTCAAGTCTCAATGCAATTTACAAATCGTTTTTTTGTTTTTTGTAAAAAAATCTATTACTCGTAGTTGTTAATCCTTATACTTTTCAGTCACAATGTTTAGTATTTATATTGAGAGTATCAAACTAATCTAAGGAAATATTAATTCTACTAAAGCAAGTCATGTGTTTTCTAAAACTAATATTGGGGTAACAGACAGTTTTTTTTTTTTTTTTTTTTTTTAATAAAAAAACCTTCCACCTCAAAAAGCATATTAGGGAGAAGAGGACAGAGGGTCTAAATATAAAAAGCACAAAACTTATCAAATTATGCCTATCAACAGATTTGAGGTTGAGGACACTGAAAAATTGAAAATCAAACGCAATACTCATTTGAGGGTCTTTTAGTACAGAGTTGTTGGTAGTCTTTGTACTCAGTGAAAAAGAAAAAAAAAAAAAACAATTCGTTTATAGATTACCTTTTTATACAAAAGAGTAACAAAATGGTTTCTAACATTGGCCATTAAATTATATCTCCTCCATTTTAAGTGTTCAATATTGATTTTTACGTATCCAGAGTATAACTATGAAAATTTATATTTCTAATACTCTAAAAGTAGAGATTATAAAGTTTAACAATAACAAGAATTATTATAATAATAATCATCGTAATAATAACAATATTATTAATAATAATAACCAAAAAAAAATGTTAAAATTTATACACTGAGATAAACCCAATATTAGTTTACAAAGAACATTTAATTTACTTTAGTAGAAATATGGCAAAGTAAGACACGAGTAGTGCAAAAGTCAATGTATCATACACAAATTAATTCAAAACATATAAAATTAATCTTTAATTTAATATAATTGCCTAGATTCCAAGAATTATGGTTATCATTGTTTTAAAACACTTAATGAAATATACAAGTCAAAGACAGATCTCAAGACAGCAAAAATCAATATCTAGGTGAAGGGAGTATCAGGGCTAACAAGTAACAATTTAGCATCTAACAGTGAGCAATATGCTAATACAAAAAGAAATCAAGGGAAGTATCTTCTGCCTTCACAATAACAAAAGGTGGAAGCAGTGGCTTGTTAGAACAGTCATACTAATAAAAGCGGGGCACTCAGTGGGCAATAAGGAGAAATTAAGCCTCTTAGCTAAATAGTTGCCAACTAAGTGAACTAACTCTATCCCATTAACAAACACACGTTCCAGATAGTGATGGTTGAGGACAATATTAAGGGAATAGGCAAGGGGAGAAGGTCTTGGCTGCACAAAGAAGAGAAAGAAGAAAGGAAGGAAAAGGAGTAACACATGCGCGGGGAGGAAGGGGGGTCGAAGGAGGGAAAGAGTCTTCCACCACCACAATTGTCAAACAAGAATGATAATAAAAGGCAGTGCATTGAAATGAAGACTGAAAGATAGGAGCCCCAGGGGAAGAGGAGAGAGGTGGGGAGTAGGTTTTACGTGCGGCTTCATGCCCCAGGGGAAAAGGAGAGAGGTGGCGAGTAGGTTTTACATGCAGCTTCATATATGACTTACTTTGTTACTATAGGAATTTTTTGCACTATCATTGATAGTTTCGTCAAAGCGATTTTTTTAAAAAAGCAATCCATGTTTTAAATAAAAAAAATACATCCAGATCAAGGTAATAATATTATTTTTATTTTATATCATCATACATTTCCTAAATTACTCATATAATTCTAAAGAAAGCAATAGCATGTTTTCTACTAAATTTTCTTAGAAGGTTACAAGGTTAATGGAAAACAATGCAAGAAATGCACAACAACGTTTCAACAGCACTCAACAAGTCAGTATTCATAATTATGCTCAAAATCTTTTACATGACTTCCCACACCAAACACAACCACCCCCAACAAAACCATCAACAAATCAACAACATAAAATAAGAACATAGCAAAATTCTCAACAAAGCAAATGAGTATAGCAATCAAGGCAAATAAAAAGCTTTATATAATCTCGAAAAGACGAAAAGACTAATCAACATAGAGCTAAATTTACCTTAAAACATCCATTTGTTTTGGAATTCCTGGACCAATCTAGCCCAAGAATCTGATTGGAGGTTTGATAAGAAGCCTTAAGAACATCATCACCATAAACCCTCCTAGACAAAGCAAAATCCCATGAATTCTTCCCCAAATCGTAACTGGGCTCGAAAGTAGTAACCCCTTTATGAACATAAGTATACCTCAATTTCCCATTTCTTGAACCCAACATATGATTAGCAGAAACCTTGTTACTAGAATCCAACACCAAAGTTCCATCCAACAAAGTCCGATTATCATTCTTATTATGAATATAAGTCATATTCAATCGCTTCTCTAAAACGCTAACAGAGTTCATGAACTGAAACCGAAAATCCTACAAACAAACAAACAAAGAAACAAAATGAAACCCACAAAAATTCAGCGTAAATTTCAAGCAATTGAACAAACAATTAAGAAATTGAGGGTAATTATGAATATAAGTCATATTCAATGGCTTCTCTAAAACCCTAACAGAATTCATGAACTGAAACCGAAAATCATACAAACAAACAAAGAAACAAAATGAAACCCACAGAAATTCAGCGTGAAATTCAAGCAATTGAACAAAGAATTAAGAAATTGAGGGTAATTATGAATATAAGTCATATTCAACGGCTTCTCTAAAACCCTAACAGAATTAATGAACTGAAACCGAAAATCCTACAAAAAAACAAAATGAAACCCACAAAAATTCAGCGTGAAATTCAAGCAATTGAACAAACAATTAAGAAATTGATGGTAAAATAGCAAAAGCAAACCTTCTTGGGAACATTATAGTCGACAATAAAGAAGCCGGGTTTTTCGAGGGAGAGGCCGAGGCCATTGAAGGAGGGACCTTTGACGAAGGTGGCGTCAGTGACGGAAGCACGAAGTTTGAAGTCGCCGACAGGAAAAGCGAGGGTGGAAGTGGCGGAGGTGGCGGCTTTGTCTGTTTCGTACTCGTATTTGCCCTTTAAAGATGCCTTCATCTCTCAATGAATGGTCTGACCCTCGTTTTCTCTGTGTATTACTGGTAAATGAGGGTTGTTTACGACGATGATTGACTATTTTGACAGGGTTTTTGGTGTGACTTTTGCTGTTAAAACAAGATTCGTATGTGTATGTGTATACTAGTATACTACTCCGTATGTAGAATTTGAGGTTTAGGAGGTACGTAGGTAGTAGGTAGTGATGTAGTGTCGTCATTCCTCACCTCACTTTTTATGGTCTAGGGATCAAATTTTACAAGATTAAAAGCAGGGTGATTAACGTTTACAATGCGCGCACATAATAGTCATGTTTGAAAATCTCTTTCAGTTTGGTTTAAGTTACAATATTTTTTTTTTTTTTGGAACAATCACAACATTAATAGTTGGTATCATTAATGAGGGAAAATATGTAACAAATAATACACTATTCTTAAGAGTTCAATAAAAGTGTCAGCTAACATTAATAAGTGTAGATAAGTAAATAAACAATTTAATGAGTTAAACTTTTCAAACTTTATTTATATGAGTTATCTCAAACTTTAAAAGGTAGTAAGGGAGGAAATGGCACACAAAGGGCTTGTTTGGCAATTACTTATTGACTACAAGCTGTTGGCTGTTTCTCTATGTTGGTCTAATCAGCTGTTTGTATTGGCTTTTTATGTTCGCTGTTTGCCTTTTGGCTATTAATAAGTATGTTTGATAAATATGGTTGTTGGCGGCTAGTTGTTTTATATAAAAATTACCTTTAAAGGTAATGGGAATTTTTTATTATCTTTGTATTTTACATGATTTTAATTATTCATTAATAATAATAATAATAATAATAATAATAATAATAATAATAATAATAATAGATTGTATCTCGGATTCCGACTAATTTCTTGTAAATTGATTGACTTTGTAGATTTTTGTTATTTTTAATAATAATAGATAATAATAGAAATGATAATTTATTATTATCATTATAATAATTTCTATTGTTATAGTTATGGTTATTTATTATTATTATTATTAAGTTTCAATTATTAATTATTAACTATTAACTATTAACAACAGACAGTTAACTATTAATTGCTAACTATTACGAATAACTATTAATTATTAATTATTAACTATTAACTATCAACTATTGATTATTGATTATTAATTAGGAAAAATACACTTTATTAATCCCAACTAGTAGCAATTTACTTCTACTACTAATGTTTATTATTTAATAATCTCAACTATGGGGTCAATTTGCCACTAGTAGTCCCAACCAATCATCAACCTGATATAACAGGTTATTTTGACACGTGGCATCACGTGAGTGGTTAAAAAAATACCCTCTCCTCCCTACCAGCCACCCCTTCCCCCTAGCTTAGCCAGAATCCGCCGTCACCTCACTGGAAACCTCACCCTTCCCCCCACCCCACCCAAGACAATCCCCTTCCCCAGCCCACCCCCGAAACTACTCCCTCCCTTCCCCCCACCCCCGAAACCGCCTTTAACTCACCACCTGCCCTCCGCGAAACCACCTCCCGCCCACCTTGCCCCCTTGCAAAACCACCCCCCTTCCACCCCTCGCCCTTTTGAAATCCTTTCCCCCATATGAAACCGCTTCCAAGCCGCCAGTAAAGAGAGAGAGAAAAAAAAATCTCGCTGCAATCAGGGGTAAGGGAACGGATGGGGCCAAATTTGAGGGTGGGGGAAGGGAATGGAGCCGGAATCGAGGGAAGAAGAAGGGAGAGGACCGAAATTGGGGGTGGGGAGGGGAAATAGAGCTGAAATATGGCAGTTTCCGGTGAGTAGGGTGGCTGGGAAGAGGGTTTTTAAATTTTTTTTTCTAGACTAATAAAAATGCGACACATGTAATTAAAAAAAAATAATCTGCTTACCAGCTTACCGGTCATCTGAGACTATTGGAGGCAAACTGACCCCATAGTTGAGATTATTAGATAGTAAACCTTAGTTTGGATTATTAGAAGTAAGTCGTACATAGTTGGGATTATTAAAGTGAATTTTTCCTATTAATTATGAATTATTAATTATTAATTACTTAGTGTTTGAGGGTTTTTTATGTGTCCTACGGGAGAGTTACAATTTCCTAGTATGCTCCTTCCTTAGCCTGTACCTGCACAAATAACGGAATACTTCGGCTGGGGCTGGGGTGTTCCGCCTCCGAAGATTAAGTTAGTCTCTTTCTTAATGAGGAAATAAGACAATAAATGCTTCTCGATTTGAGAGCGTTTGCAAGGGGATTTGTGTTTTGTTGGTTGGTGGAAAATGATTCGATCCCCATTAATGAGGTCTGCCCTTACTATTTATAGTAGGGGAGAGCTGTACCTCAATTAGGGTACAATGACACGTGTCGCAAAGGGATTGGGCCTTTGATGACCGTTGCAAGCTTGACACGTGGCAAGCCTTTATAGGGTCACGTGTCTTAGGGTATTTTTACCCTAAACATCTGCCCCTCACAGGTGTTGATTAGGGGATTTTGCTCCCACCAATCGGAATGCGCCACGTGGGCCAATCAGGTCCTGCCAAGTGTCCCCCGGTTGGAACTGTCAGGGCTTGCCACGTGGCACGCGCTTATTCGTCCACCTTGGACCTGTTATGTCATGACATGTGGCATACTCCATGCCTAATGGGGAAACCGGCCACCCAGGCCCAACTTCCGAGGGAAGCCCAATCGGCCCTAGGTTAACCTAAACCTAGGATGGGCACGTTTCCCAAGGTTATAAATACCTCCCTTAATCCTCATTAAGGGGGATTACGAAACATAACGAAGAAACACATTAATTACACACAGTAATAACCGGCTGATCTCGCTAACAAAGCAGATTACCTACATTAAACACTCTCACCCAGAGAGACCCAATCTCTTTAATTTCCGCATTAATTACTCCTTAATCAAGTACTAACTTGACCGTTGGAGGCGGAGCTCCCAGGAGTCTCCGTTATTTTGCAGGTTTAGGCGTCCGGTTCTAGTCTCGGAATTGTAACTCTCCCGCAGGACATCAGAAAACCCCGAAACAGGTGTGACGTGGCATGTCCATGTGTCACCTGTGACAAGTGTCAGACGCATGGGAGGAGACGGTTCGTCTTCTTCCCTCCTTTTTTCAAATTTCAAGTTTTTAGGGCAGAAGGCATCGTTTCGCCTTCTGCTCCTTCTCTATAAATGAGAGACACTCTCTCTCTCCTCCACACTTTGCATAATTTTTCAAAAATTTTCTGAGAGAGAGCTCTGATACCGGTTGCATAATTTCCTAAGTTCCTTGCATCCGGCATTTTCAAATCAAGCACATCCGGCGACCGGTTGGGTGTTCTTTCTCCAATCTCTAAGGTACCGGCTGTTCTTTCCTTTCTACTTTTTAACTTTCGTTTTTGAGGACTTTGAACGTTTCACCCCATCCAGGTTGCCTGCCGCCTGGGGGGCCTTTAACCCATATCCCAGTGTTGAATCTTCTCCCTCAGCCGGCATAGCCTCGTCTGAGGGGTCTTCAATTTTTAAGAATGCATTCTAAACACCCCCATCCGGTTTAACACCGTATGGGGGGTCTTTGATCCATTCCCAAATAAACTTATCTTTTAACACCGCCTGGGGTATTTCTGAGCTTTTATCAAGAAATGATTTCAAAAACCCCAACCGGTTTTAAAGCCGGTTGGGTCATCACCCTTGTCTTTTTCAGGACTTTTCAAATTTTAAGATGCGTTCAATGCACCCCCATCCGGTGACTCACCGTCTGGGTATTGTTTGAACATGCCTTTTTGAAACAGATCTTTCTATATGCTCATCCGGTATTTTACCGTTTGAGGTATTTGTTGACCCTAGATGCTGATGCAGCACCCACATCCGGCATCTTTACCGGATGGGGTATCTCTAACCCAACTTTCCTGATGCCGTCTGGGGTATCATGGAGTGAGCCTCACAATTCTTTTTACTACTTTGCCAATTCTTATCACAATCCCCCATCCGGTGTTATACCGTTTGGGGGTACTTCTAACCTAGCTTACTGAATACCGTCTGGGGTATTATTGAGTGAACTGTACAATTAATCTAGCTAAGTTTTACAATAATGCAAGTCATAACCCCCCATCCGGTCTTAAACTGTCTGGGGTACTTTTGACCTAGCTCGCTGAACACCGTCTGGGGTATCCTATAGAGCTTTACAATAATCCAGCTATCCTTTTTCAAAAATGCAAGTCATAACCCCCCATCCGGTCTTTATACCGTCTGGGGTACTTCTGACCCAGCTCACTAAATACCGTCTGGGGTATCATAGAGAGCTTTACAATATTCTAGCTAGTCATTACAAATGTTTGCAAAGAACCCCCATCCGGCCTTATGCCGTTTGGGGTACTTCTGACCCACCTCTTTGAAAACCGTCTGGGGGGTTTTTGGGCGAGTTAATGAATAACCGGCTAAGTATTTACTTTGTCTTTTTCAGCTTTAAACACTTTCGCGGAGTTCCCTGTCTGAGGCGACTTCAAGCCAACTCTCAACTTTCTCATTTCAAAGGTACCGCCTGCATCCCATACTTGTCACTTTCTTTTATTTCCGGTTGCATAGTATTAGGATATGGACTCCACCAATGCACACACGGCACATCCTACGACTATGGTCAGCCGGTCACCAGGAACGGCTGAGTCTAGGACTGGGATTTCCGTCTGGGGGTGCTTGGAACAACCTTCACCTACATCGAATCCGACCGTCTCTATTCATGTGCAGGACAGAATGGCTCGGATCAGAGTGACGACAATCGACCCTGACTACCAGTCCGACGATCCAGTCGTTGATCCGGCTGACTCTATAAATCAAGAGCAAGCCGAGGAACCGGCTGAGATGGGTCCTAATGAAGAGGTTCCGCAAAATTCTCCGAATACACCTAGCACACCGGGTGACAGTATTTTGGATAGCTCTGGTTCCAACGCTGAGGAATCTGGAGAGGGATCCGGTGATGAATCCGGAGAGGGGTCAGCTGATAATGAGGAGTCCGGCCCTGGCCCTGATGAGTCTTCTGAAGAGGCGGCTCCCATTGATGAAGAGGCCTACAAATGACCGGCTAAGGGCGACCCAATTGATATGACCATGTCCGCCAGGGATGTGGTCACTTTGAACGCCA